TCATTTCAACTTCATGGTCAGATTTTGATGCTGCAACCTTACTTGTACCGCATTCACTTCTACTAATTGGAATTGGAAAATCATTTTCAGCAGTTGCCTCCAGTTTTTCAGAAGGAAAAAGACTAGGAGAACTCCCTTTCCTTATCTCAAGTTTACTCTCTTTTCCAATAAATGAGTTGGATTTCTCATGTTCTCTACCTGGTGATAATAGATCTTGTTCTGGACCCTTACAAGCTACATATTTGTTCTCAGCATGAACTTCAGACACCAAGAAAACTTCTGTTCCTTTCATCTGATCCCCACTACCAACATCTTTGGCTCCACCAACAGGACCATTGAATAAAGGGTCAATTTGTGCCGCATCCTGATTGGCTACATCTATTTGAGTTACTTGATGATTGTTTTCACCTGAAGTATCTACTCCTCCTTTAGAATCTTCTGGATCATTCAATTCATTAAGATGCAGAAGAGATGTTTCCCCCATGTTGTTCATCTTCTCTACAAAAGCACCAGTTCCTGCTGAAGACCAGTTTCTTGGAAATTTTAGGCAACAAAGGATGGACAAAGATAAAAGTGACAATTGACACTCCTTATAGTAAACAGCTACCATACCTGGAAAAGAATTACCCTTATCTGCCTGGTGTTCATGGTCTGATTGACCCATTGAGCTAATGCCAACAGTGTATCTAGGACTAGGAGACTTATCTAAGGTATCTACACCAACTCCAGTGCTCATATGTGATAGGGATGTACTGAAATTTGCATCTATATGTATGTCATTACTACACCTCCCAGCTGTAACAATTTGGGGTGAAAGAACTATGTTGCTTGGTCTTGCACCCCATAAATTAGATGGTTTCTTTTCAGAAAAGCTGCACTCTGCATATTTGAGACTGAGACCATTCCGTGGAGACCAAACTAGTTCAGATAAGGGGTCAGCGGCCACATATGTCATACCTATCCTTGAAGCTGCATTTGCACCTGCACCGAAATCATTGTTCAATCTCGTCTGACTGTTATAACTGGAATAACCGAGAGAAAGTCCTGTATCAGTCACCGGTTCTATGTTTTCATTGTCCACATCCATTTCTGTTGGATAAAAACTTCAGTATGCA